TGGTGCCGGTTTCTGTGGCCTCCGGCGGCCCCCCCTCGACATGTGGTTGCTGTTCTCTTTGCAGTCCCGCCGGAGGACCCCGTCATTGATGGAGCCCCCGAGATCCTGCTGCGGGCGGGGACGCCCCACAACCTGACCTGCCGAGCCCGCAACGCCAAGCCGGCTGCCACCATCACCTGGTACCGGGGTGGATTGCCGCAGACGGAGGCCACCATGGCCACGGTAGGGCCACGCCGGGCGCTTGGGGGATTGGGAGGGGGAGGGGGGCCCACCCGCGCTGAGAGGGCGGCTCCCCGAGCGACCCTCAGATTTATTGGGGGTTTGCACCTTGACACAACCTTACAAAATGCTTTCAAGGCCGGCAGGAATGCAGAAGAATAAATGAGAATTCCAAAGCTGGGCCCTTCTTTTTTTTAAAAAAAAAAAGGCTGTTTTGGAAAGGGGTCTCCGTGCGCCTGCCTAGCGGTGCCTCCCGAAATGGCTTCATGCCCGAGAGGGGCTGCGTGGCCTTGTGGGTTTCTGCGACCCCCAAGCTCCATTGAGGGCATCTCTAGGCTGTGGGGAGAAGGGGGCAACGGCTGTCTTTTGGGGGCCGCTTGGGGCTGATGGGAATTGTAGTCTAAAATCCATTCTGGAAGGATATGATTGTCCCACACACACACACACACACAGAGGGGGACTCTGCGCAAGGCTTTGGAGATCATACATGCCCCCCCCACAAGCCTTGGCCCTGCCAGCACAAGTCTTTGAGTAACACCCTTCGCTGCTGCCCCCCCCCCATGGTTAAAGTTGTTTTCTGGCCCCTGCCATTTCCATCTCGCCTCCCTGCTTGAAAGGAAAAAGGCTGCTTTTTGAGGTGGCAAACAGAAGCCGTTGTGGAAAGCAAGGAATATAAACCCAGGCCACAAAGCCCCCCCCCCTTTTGCTGGCCCTCCTGATCCACCGAATCCTGCAGTGCCTCTTCTTCCCCCCCGACCCATCCTGAAGCCTCCTCCCTCCCTCCCCAGAGGATGATGGGCCCCATCATCTCCTCCGTTCCCCTTCCAGGAGGTCTTGCCCGACGGGAAGCGGGAGACCACCGTAAGCTACCTGCTGATCAACCCGACGGACCAGGACATTGGGCGGGTGTACGTCTGCCGGTGTGCCAACGACGCCGTCCCGGAGGGCAAGGAGGCCTCCGTCCAGCTCAACGTCCACCGTGAGTGAAGCGCCGGCTCGTGGCTTGGCTCCAGACCCAAAGGCCGTTGGGATTTGGGGTGGGGTGGGGTTTTGGGGCGTCCCTGCTTTGCCTGCTGTTGCAGGACATTCGGTGACATGGGGGGGGGCGTGGGAGCCTTGACTCGATGATGCCAAAGCGGGTGGTTCTCTTCCGAGGATCGGGGGTGGGGGGTGGGGGGTCATGAATTGCAGCCACCTTCTCCAAATCCATCTCCACCTGGGCAGGTGCCTCCTGGGGGACTCCTCGGTCTTTCCCGGCTCAACTGCCCCTTCTCTTCGGGAGGTCCTTCCTAAAACCAGGGAGATTCCCCAAGAAGGAGCCGGCGATGGAGCAAGGAATGCTCACACCTTTGTTCCTTAAATCCAGCCACCAGGCAGCCATGGATACAAGCAGCTCTCCTTTATTGATAAGCCCTTTTGCAAAAGCGGGGGTGGTCCTAGCTGGGTAGCCCCCCCCCGACATTACAGGTTGCCTGATATTTATCATCCCCTGTTCCAGGCCGCGTGGTCCCTCCCTCGTTTCCCCCTTTGGTCTCGGTACTCCAAGGTGTGCAGCCTTTCTGAGGCACCTAAAACGACCACAGGAAGGCCTGCCTTTGTTTACATCTCCCGCTCCCCTCTTTACTTAGACCCCAGACTTATTCATCTTATAATTTCTCATGACTTCTTTAAATTCCTTTTGTTGGCTAAATAATTAACAATGATTAACTGATTATTTTACCATGACCATTATTTACTCAATCATCATTCCTTACAGGGACTTGCAAAAGCAGCACTGATTTCTCTCACAATGTCTCCCCCGCATAACAACTGGACAAAGTATGGGGGGGGGTGTGGGGAAAATTTATGCTGTTATGCTGTTACAATGTATATGTCTGTGGCAGTAGCAAATGTATATCTATGACAATGGCAGGCCTCATGCTAAAACTGCAAGTCACTAGTTTCCAGTAAGGATGATCATTAACCTGCTGTCTATTGTCTCTGGGTAATGTAGTTAAAG